AAAAAAAAAAAAAAAAAAAAAAAAAAAAAAAAAAAAAAAAAAAAAAAAAAAAACATTGATAGGACTGTGGATGTGCCAATGGATCTGCAGTTTGTACGATTTCGTACTTGTTGCATAATGAATGGAGTTGTTGTAAAGACGCTCAACAATGGTTAAATCAATAGGACCGTGAATATCGCCAACCGATCTGCAGTCTGTTCGATTTCATACCTGTTGCTTCGACTTCTGATCGGGGTCAATCACGACGCGTAGCAGTTGAAGAATAGGGCCTCGCTCTACTACTCACCACGCGTCGGAGACAAAAAATGTGGCGATGTATCTTTCGATGTTCTAAGGGAAGATTCGTTCTCATTTTTGCACAGCTGGTGAGTAGTGGAGCGATGCCCACTGTCTGGTAAATTTATTATGGTGATTGTTTTTTGCTTGACACATTCGTTTCCGGATGCCAATCAGACTTTGTACAGGTTTATCCTAAATTGTGCAATGTAAAAAAAAAAAGAAAAAAAGTGCAATATATAGGTTTATACGAAATTTTGCTTGACCTATACATAGCTACTGCCTTCACTCGAATACAACACCCGGTCATTATTACTGTATTTGCTGTACATCCTTCTTAAATGACCCCGACGACCCGAACTCGAGGGCCGAAGGCGCGTTTTGGAGGTTGCTCTCCGATCGCGATCTGATCTTGGCAGTGAGCCTTTTTCCCCGCAAGCCATAGCTACGTTTGCCCTCTCTATGGAAGACCCTCTATCGACACTGTTTTTCAGTCTCATGACAAATTTCACAAGCTTATGAAGTACCACATTGGATAAAAGAGGGCTGAAGGGCCGAATCGTGTGGTTGTCTTTCGATAAGGCGATCGATCGACCGTATTAGAGGCCGCTTTATCTTATACAGGTGCACGAGAGTAAATAATCTATCATCTTGAATCTTCTTATGCAAAAGACTCGTCGATAAGCATTTGGAGCTTCGACCTTCTATGTCGTAGGCTAAGTTCCCAATTTTAAGAAAATTTGGACTAAGATAACAAATGTAGCGGTGGGTACTTCCACATAAGTTTGTTAGACACTTTCCTCATAGCTTCAGATAACCGAACATATTTGGCGCCGTTCGCTAAATTATGTTGTTAATAAGATTTATAAATCAGTGGTTCCCGTTTAGAAAAATAAAATAAAATAGCAACATCGTTTTTCTTAGCATACTTTAAAGTTTGAACAGTAATATATGGCAAGATAAATTTAAGAAACTTTTTAAGTTTTTTTGTTCCGAACCAGAATCGGTAATATATATCTTTACTATGATTTGTATTAACTCCCATTTTTACGATCTCTGTGAATGCGTCTTGCATGTGTGTAAACATTCCAAACAAGTTCTTAAACCATCAGTACTTCTTAAAGTCGTACCCGTTAACAAACCACGATTTTAGGAAACGAACGGGCCACTACAGGAGCGTCCAAATTCATTGGACTGGAAACGTTTCTACTCTACTTTTTTCGCAGTCGATAGTTGAGCCAAGGAAAGGGGGAAAACTAGTGTGAATTAATAGTTTGTTAGACACTTTCCTCATCTTTTCGTGAATTCTTTTGTACATGGGATGTTGGACCCGTTGCAGGCAATGCTCCCCATCAATATATGGAGCCTCCGCGGGGGGCTAGTGGTGCCTGCCCTTATCAGCACCGCTAGCACTGGAGAGGGTGTCGTTTGAAAAAGGAAGGAAAAAAGAGCTAAATCCCATATGTTACGATCTCTTTGAATGGGTCGCACATGTGTGTACATATTCAAACAACTTCTAAATAACGAGGTAAACGTTTCACGAAGTCTTCGTAGAAACCATCAGTACATAAGAGTCCCTTTCGCCCTAGTGAGATAATAGACCCATCATCTAACCAACCACCAAATAGCTAATGACAATGGCATAAGATGATTCAACCATCGACATCGAATGGCTAATTTATTTTTGTCATGTGTTATTTTATGGATTTCTTTTAGTTGAGGGAGAGCACGACTTTGAAATAACAATTTTGTATTTCCGCCTAGATAGATCATAAAACTATAATGACCAAGCGTTATATTCGGGTGAAGACGGTAGTTGTGCTTTGTATAGGTTTATGCAACATTATTTCCATCGAGTTACTTTGAGAGTATATATCGCGTACCTGGATCGCTAACAATAGTTCTAAGAGGGCCTCACTTAATGGATGTCAAATTTATCGAATTCTTCTTTGATAAATGAGATTTGTAGGTGTGTGTGGTGGTAGAGGAATGGCAATTAGGACAATTAGATTTACTTGGAGAAGCAATCGTCGTAAACCATGGGCCTCGCTCCACTACTCCCCACGTGCACAAAAAATTAACGAATGCTAAATTTATCGAATTCTTCTTTGATAAATGAGATTTGTAGGTGTGTCTGGTGGTAGAGGAATGGCAATTAGGACAATTAGATCTACTTGGAGAAGCGATTGACGTAAAAGACCATGGGCCTCGCTCCACTACTCCCCACGTGCACAAAAAACAAAAAATATGGCAGTGTATCTTCCCATGTTTTAGAGGAAGATTCATTCTCCTTTTGCATGTTTGGTGAGTAGTGGGTTTAGGCCCCGTAACCAGTAACAAACCTTTTTCACTCTTTTTTGGCCTTATCCGTGACATCGACGAAATGAACTAACCAGAACCATCAGGAATGAGGAGAGGAGGCCTTAATTGGACGAAGTGGTTGCTGTCGATGGATCTTCATCACCTGACAGACTTGACGACTTTTTCAAAAACTTTGTGTATTTTCCTTTGTACCAAGCCAATAGAATCTTTGGATCAAAAAGGGTAAAAAAAAACAAAAAGGAGCTTTGTAGCAAACCTCCATGGGTCTTGAAGAACCCAAAATGAACGCTTTTGTCGTAATACACCCAACCTAGAACTTGGGAACGAAGGGGTGAAGAATCTGGCACAGAAAGGTGTTCACATACATGAAACGACAATCCCAAGTGAGTGCGAAATCAAACTGGTTCGTTGAGTCGGTGAGCGATTGTGTTATGATAGGACCCAAGGTAGCAGCCTTAGGGGATTCTCACAATAGGACCTTTCTAACAAAGCTCTAGACGTGATTGCAGTCGGATTCGTCTGCGTCTGGCGGTAATTGTGTTCGGATGCATTTTGGAATGAGTAATCTTTTCCTATTTAGGCATTTGTCCTGGCAAGAAATAAATATCCGTAGAATGTCCAATAATTTGAGTGATCTTTCCTACATTTTTCTCCTGGACTAGAAAATTTTGACAATCTCAATTTGCGGTTTTGTTGTCATTTTGCAATTTTATTTCCAATCTGTAATTTTGTATATTGTTATCATTTTATTGCAGTTTCCAAGTCACGTACCTGTGCAGATGAGAGATTTGGAAGATTGACCAGGTGCACTGTTTCGGTGGAGTGCTCAACCTGACCTGAAGATGTCAGTAAGTGCGCGTTTATTGGCGGGGAGCTGTGCGGTTAAATCATTCTCACCTTTGACGGGCCATGACAAACCGATCGTCTCTCAGAAGACTGACCAGGTGAGTGATGGCCTAGCTACACTTCACACGACTCCAAAAATGTATGTGGACCTAGGCTACCAGAGTGGCCCGGGGTCACTTGTCCGGCTGGGCGAAAAATAGAAGTAAAAGTAAAAATAAAACAATTATTTTAAAATTTTATTTTTTATTCTAAAATTGGTGAAGAATTTCGATGTGACCCTGAGGCAAAAGTTTTTCAGTTTATTTTTTTGCATAACATAGTTTTTTTTTTTTTTTTTTTTTTTGGGACCTTTCCTGGTCCTTGCACGGGCTGGCGACCCGGGACCCGGGCGGCCCGGCTGGTAGCCTAGATGTGGACATGTTTGCTGATCTCTATACTTTCCGAATGTTGGATAAGTCCAAATGTATCTGGTCCGGATTTCAGGCCACATACATGTAGGATGTTGTATACTATGTATAGTGGAGTGATGCCCTGAGTCTTCTCTGTTTCCATGCATACATCTGCGCACATCGTTTTTTTTTTTTTTTTTTTTTTTTTTCCTTTGAAAAAGGGCGACGGCCTCGAGATATCATCATTGAGCTGCCCGGCCGCAAGTAATTCTGAAAATTTTGTTATTCTGTTCTTCTGATAATAGGCGATTTAACCTAGCTGCGTGTCCGACTCAACTGGCGTACTATTCTTTCGCCTTTTACTAAAGAATACCGTGTTTTTAAAAAGCATCTGGATTCGAATTTTGTCTGTTAGTTATTTTCACACAGGAGATTTTTTTTATTTTTTATTTTTTATTTTTATTTTTAATTTGGACCATTTCTCGGTTTATGTGTGTCATCCTTGCCCAGGGGCCATGCTAATCCTCTTTCTCTGTATCGTTCCAATTTTGATGGATGTACGCAAGGACACAAGAGTTCTTTTCGCCTTCCCCTCACGGTACTTTTTTGAAGATTTTCCTTCTTCTTCTTCTTTTTTTTTTTTTTTTAATAAATTTGTTTTCGCTATTGGTTATCCAGGAGTATTTAGCTTTACGAGGTGGTCCTCGCAAATTCACACAGGATTTCCCATGTCCCATGCGTACTTGGGTTAGAGCGAAAGCTTGCGCTGGTTTTGTACTACTGTATTTTCACCGTCTAGGGTGCCTAGTACCCTGGGCGTTTTCCAACAACAAAAAAAAGGGTGCAGAATTCAACTGGTGAAAACAAAAAAAAAGGGAAACACGCTGGAGGCTCCAGTCGATGGGAAGAAAGGCCCAAATTCCACTAGAGATATAATAGTGTCATAATACTAAAAAATTAAAAATTCGGGAGCAAAAAAAAAGGGAAACTCAAACGCACCGTTTCGACCCCGGCCCCTTTTTTTTAACCTGAGGGGGCTGATGGGTCGTTCCCCGCACACGTCGTGCGCCGCACGGGATCGGTTGGGCTCGTGCGCCGCACGTAGGGAACTGCCCGCACGACGTGCGCTTGCAAGTATGATAGGAATTCATCGTAATGGCATAAGTGTCATTTGTCGGAACTCTGTCCTCCCCCCCCACCCTTTTTTTTTTTTTTTTTTTTTTTCAGTGCATTTGTCCTCCAATCTTGTGTGATAGACGTAAAGCCATTGACTTCACAAGAATCAGGTCAGTAAAATAACTCTGCATTACCTGGTGCTGGTGGTCAGTTCGATGATGATACCTCCAGGCCTTCCATTGTTGTGCTTTCAGACAAGAAACTCAGGAGTCACAGTGGTTTAAGCTGGCACCCCTCTTCCTCCTCCTCCTCCTCTTCCTCCTCTTCCTCCTCTTCCTCCTCCTCCTCCTCTTCCTCTTCCTCCTCTTCCTCCTCTTCTTCCTCTACCTCTTCCTCCTCCTCCTCCTCCTCTTCCTCCTCTACCTCCTCTTCCTCCTCCTCCTCCTCTTCCTCCTCCTCCTCCTCCTCCTCCTCCTCCTCTTCCTCCTCTTCCTCCGCTTCCTCCTCCTCCTTCTCCTCCCTCAATCTGACATGCTTGCAGGATGGCCATGGTGTTCTGAATTGTGAACAGTATCAACAGATTCAATCGCCGTCGCATGCTTGTGGCACCGCCGTCTGGTTTTGCCATTTGGCATCCTCTGGTTCTACCAGGCCTGCTCGGCGAGCTATCGGGGAGAAGCAGAAAGGGAGGAGCCGGATGGGGGTGAATGGGCTGGGGTTGTTTGACAGAAGCTGCGTCATGCACACGCAGTCCTTCTACGGCGATTTGGTGTGCATGCAGGCTGGGCATGGTATCTTGGACTGCAGGCAGCTCCGGTCGCTGCAAACCCCTGTGCTCGTGTGGTCCTTTTGCCATATACCGTTGACGCGCTCCACCAGTGGGGGTGGGAAAGGTCTTTGGGAGAAGAAGGGGGGAAGGAGGTGGATAGGGGAGAGGAGTGGAGCGGAGGCAGGTGGGGGGGGGAGTAGCAGAGGGTGGACTGTGGTCGCTGTGCTTGACAAGACTCAAGGAGTGAATGGAAACGGGAGCGGGCCCGTGGAACCGGCGCGGGTGGCGCTGGAACGACTCTACGTACAGGCGCAGCAATATGAGGACAGGTTTCCCAAACCCCGCCAGTTTGTTGGGCAGGAGGCGGAGATCCATAATGCGGTGAGCGAGCTGGAGGGTGACTTGACGGTCGCATTGGAGGCCCTTCGCACTCGAGAAAATGAACTCACAGCGGCCGAGGCAGCTGTTAGAACAGACCAAAGGTTGTTGTCCGATGCCCGCTCGGCGCTCATGGCACGCGAGAAGCAGCTCGAGTCTTCGGAGCGCGAGCATATGCGGCAGAAGGAGGAGTTACACCACTCCCAGAGCCAGCTGCAGTTTCACAAGGAGGAGGTGGAACGAATCCGCGTTATGCTGTGGGACCGGGAGGCGGAGATTCGGTCCGCGCAACAGCAGGTCGTATGGAGGCAGGAAGAGGTAGATCGCGTGCGGGCGAGGCTGATGGACAGGGATAGGGCGATGGAGTCGTTGCAGGAGGAGTTGCGTGCCAAGGAGAAGCAACTCGTTCGCGTGAACGTCGAACTGGCCGATGGCGCTGCACAAATTAACCGTCTCCGCGGCGAACTGGATGCTAGGCAGAGGGAATTCGCAGCGGCCAAGGAGGAGCTGGACATGAAATCCGCAAAGCTGCAGAAGACCGAAGAGGAGCTGAAACTCCGGTCGACGGCATGGCTGGCTGCTCAAAAGGAGTTCAAGCAACTGGAGAAGGTGTTGCAGAACGAAAGGTCGGAGAGGTCCAGAGAACGGAGAGAGCTCGAGCGGACATGCAAGCTGCTCGAGGAAGTGCGGAGCGAGCTCGACTTATCGAGAGACTTGGTTGCCAAAGTCCGGAAAGAACTCAACGGGCAGGGCGCCTTGATGAACCAGCGCGATCGCCAGCTTGGGCAGCAGAGGGGTCTGCTGAAGAAGAAGGACAAAGAGCTCGCAAAACTGCGCATGGAGCTAACGAAAGAGAAGGCAAACCTCCAGTCTGCTAGGAATCAGATTATTGCGCAGAACAAAGAGATACGGGAGAAACAAGTTGGAATAGAGCTTGTCCAGGTCAGTAGTAGATTCTTCTCAAATTTTTGAAATTCCCCCCTCTTTTTAACTTTTTAATCGCTTGTCATTTTTATTAAAATTCACCGGCCTTGTTTTTTCAAATTTTCCTTTTGTTTTCTAACTTTTCTCTTCTTTGAAGTTTAAACCACCTGTTCAGAGTGACCTAAGTTGACAGCAGTAATTTCCAAGGACAAACTGGAGCTTTTTTTTTTTTTTTTTTTTTTTTTTAGGACGAACTGAAGCTGTTGTAATGGCCGCAGTACTTTTTCCTGGGTAGAAAAAATAGTGACGTCCCCAGCCCCTATTTGAGTTCTGTAATAAATCTGTAAATATGTCCCCCTTCCCCTTCCCYCCCCCCCCCCCCTCCCAACAATAAAAAAAGATTCACCTTCAACCTGACGTATGAAAAAAAAAAAAAAAAAAATTTGACAAAGGCAGTAGCTTCACAAATCCCTGGGGACCCAAGAGCCTAGCTCAGTGGGTACACCCATGAACTGTTGAAAGACAGACCAGGTGCTGTGTTCGAATCCAGATGATGATGGAACTTGATGAGTAAAACCACCTACTAATGAATTGCTTGGGGCTGGTCAGCTCAATGATAATATCTCAAGGCCGTCGCCCTTTTTTTTTTTTTTTTTTTTTTTTAAACAATCCCTGGGGATAAAGTGGCATTAACGCTGGGACCAATGCTGAGATGAACACTGGGACCAATGCTGGGACCAGTGCTGGGACGAACGTTGGGACCGATGCTGGGAATAACACTGGGACAAATGCTGGAACCAATTCTGGGAACCAAAATGTGGTTTCATTCGCTAACCAAACTGGATCCATACTCTGACCAAACTGTTTTTTTTTTTTTTTTTTTTTTTTTTTTAACGGCCATGTTGTTAAAAAACTTTGCCTCAGGGTAACATCGAAATGCTTTCCCCAATTTAAAATATACACAACCCCTCGTTTGTTGTCCTCGTTCTCCCTCTCTGCCTACGGTTTACCGGGCAGCTCTGTTTGATGATATATACCACGACTTCGCTAGAACCTTGCTACGGTTTTCTCCGGTCAGGTCGAGCGGCAGTGGTCGGGGCCGCCACTATACGCCCATGCTGTGCGCGTGTCTGGAGTGTATGTTTTGGCTGTGACAGACCTTTCTTTTGTTCGTTAAGTGTTTTGCTGGCTTGTAATGTGGGTGAGTGATAGTATGCTTTGATTTTCGTCACAGGTAGCTTGAGGGCAGTGGTTGGTGGTCCCCACCACCTCAGAGGGTTATCAGTTGTCGGGCAGTCGTTGATGCTTAACCACAACCGGTTGTGGTTAACGTGGATTATCACTTACAGTGTAATCAGTTAGGGGATTCTGCAGACTGTTGAGGGTTCAGCCTCTACTGATTGACGAGTCGGTGAAACTCCGACGAAACAGTTTGTCACAGCCCCTCGTTTGTTGTCCTCTTCTCCACTTCTCCCTCCCTCTCTGCCCACGGTTTACTGTAGGCAGCCCTGTTTGATTATATATACAGAGCTGCCTACGGTAAACCTTAGGAGACAGAGAGGGAGGGAGAAGTGGAGAAGAGGACAAGAAACAAGGGGCTGTGACAAACTGTTTCGTCGGAGTTTCACCGACTCATCGATCAGTAGAGGCTGAGCCCTTGACAGTCTGCAGAATCCCCTAATTGATTACACTGTAGCCGATAATTTTCTTTGTTTTCAATTTTTTATTTTTTTTTGCCTGGCCGGGCAAGTGGTCCCCGGCCACTCTGGTAGCCTAGATGTATTGGACTAAACCGGATGGATTAGGCTGTCTTACACTTCGACAGCATATGGTCGACCGTCGGATGGTTTGACCGGAGTGGACGCATTTGTTGTTGTTTTTTAATGTTTCATGCCCAGGCGGAGCTGGACAGGGAGAGGAAGATGCTAAAAGAGGCAGTGGCTGAGCTCCATGAGCTGAAGAACGAGCTTCGGCGGAGAGATGCAGCATTGTCTGAGGCGCAGCTGGCTGTGCAGATTCGGGAAGCGGAGCTGATCACAGTGAAACTTGAGCTGCGGCAGCTGAGAGTGGAGGCTGCGGCGTCCAAACTCGCGATGAAGAAAAAAGAAGAGGAGGTCCGGAACGCATGGGACACTGTGAGCAATCTCCAAACGGAGCTCGTTGTGGTGAAGACAAATCTGCAGCAGCAAGAAGGGGAGCTGCAGCGCGTCAACGGGATGCTGCAGGCCACTCAGGAGCAGTTGCAATGCGTGCGAAATGACCTTAACGAACGCAAATTGCAGTTGCTGGAAGTGCGTTCGGCCTTGAAACACATGTCACACCTGTCTAAAAGCCTGGTCGAGTCGGCGCTACAAGCTGAAGAAGCGGATGGGACGTTGTCAGCGGCAGCTGGAAGTTCGGAGGACTCCTTGCTGGCGCAGCAGAGCGCGAAACTGCACTTAGCGAGGCAGGAGGCGAACCAGAGAGCGATGGAGGTCGAGGAGATGAAGGAAAGGGAGGAGAAGAGGGAGGCGGAGAGCCGGCAGGTTGCCGCGCGACTGGCCGAAGTAGAGGGATTAGTCCTGGAGCGAGAGGTAGAGCTTGCAGGTGCACGAGTAGAAGCTGCGCAGCGACAGGAGGAGACGCAGCAGATTGTTAGACAGTGGCAGCAGCGCCAAGTGGACCTCGAACGTGAGAGGGAAGAAGTCGCGACCACAGCGAAGGAGCTTGTGCAAAAGCACGAGGCTGTCTTGAAAGCATTGTCGATGTCGAAATCTGTACGTCTGCCAGATACGGCAGAGGAGTCGCGGCCGAGCGACTGGACTGCCAGTGCCCTCTTAGACGTCGCGATTGCACGTCACGAGGTAGAGCTTGCAATCGACATGCTACATGGAATCGCGCACTCCGCTGAAGGTCTCAATGAGTTGGGCGTGTCGGCGCCGGCGGAAGCGACCCAGCAAAACAGCACCGCTCCTCTTCAGACGACAAGTCGGAACCTTGGATGGGAAGGAGCCATCGACGGATCTTCTTGCCGACTAGGGGAATCTGTCAGAAGGGAGGGGAATGGGGATGGCACCCAAGTGACGAAACCGCAGCGAGGAGGAGAACAACGATCGGGTATCGTCCGCAGAAGTGGTACGCGACGAGGAACACCTGTCTGTGCTAACAACATGAACAAGGTCCAGGTACGACGGTCGCATTCCGACACCAACAAGTCTAACCACCTGCTGGGTAAAAGGGAGAAGAAGCAGGTTGACGGCAAGAGCGAAGGAGTGAAGATCACAGCAATGGCGATCGGGTCTGTGAACAGGCTAGCAAAGAAGTTGATCGGTCAAGTAGATCCGAGTCTGGAATCTCACGTCGATGCGACTCTTACTTGATTCGGGAAGTCGAACTAAACGTCCGTGCACCGTTGGTAGGTGTTTTTTTTTTTTTTTTTTTTTTTTTATGCTGACTCCGAGTTTGCTGACTCACTAGGTGCAGTTCCCCTTTGTTTGTTTGTTCAAAATCTCAAATTCATCGTCCGTAGGTGTTCTTTTTTCTTTTGGACAGAAAATGGCATGCGAAGAATAGCCAAGCAGCAAATTCTTAGCCTCACAGCAAATGTTATGAAGGAATATAAACAGAAAATGTCATGTTCCTAGGATGCTATTTATAAGCATGGTTACGATCTGGACGTCCGGACCACAGTGCAGACGGTCTGGGTCTGGATATCCGGGTCTGGTGTCCGGTCCACAGTGTCCGGATCCATCCCCCCAACCCCACCTCAAAAAACAAATCCGACTTAAAAAAAAACAAAAAAAAGCAAACAAAAAAAAAAATCTGAAAAAAAGATATGCTATGCAGCATTGCAGTACAAAAATCTTTTGGCTGAGGACCATCTCTAAATTCCAAGCCAAATCCAAGGTTTAGAAAAAAAACATTTTTTTTTTTTAATTTTTTCCTTGTTTTTTTTAACTTTTTTTTTTTTTTTTTCAATCCGGACAGTCGAGCAGTCCAGACAGAGGTCCGGCCGGACATCTGGAGTGGTCCGGTGTCCGGTGTAAACATGTGTTTGAGACTCTTTTTCTTTTTCTTTTTTTGCGAGGATAATTCTTATTAACAGAAGTAGTTCTAGAAGCTAGATTCCTTTTTTGCTTTTTTTTGTTTTTGTAAACGCACCCGTCGGTGCTAGTGGTGCTGGTAAGAGCAGAGATTCCTCGTGCGCTCTTTTTTTTTTTCCTGTTTTTTTTTGGTCTGCAAGAACATTTGTCAATTATCATTGCCAAGAGTTCTTAGCTTTCTCAGTTGACATCAACACAATGGCTGGACATGTGTTGAAGCGGGAGGAATGGAAATCGCTAATCATCATTTGATAATCATTCCATGATTCCCTGTCTATCTTCTTTTTTTTTTTTTTCTCTCTTTTCTTTCCTTTTTTCTTTGCCCAGGGCAAGGTTAGAGGGTGGTTTTTTTTTGGTTTTTTTTTTTTTTTTTTGAAGTTGGAGGGTTTGCAGGTTGCTGCAACTTCTCATAATAACTAGGAGGAGCCTTATTGATGGACAGTATTGAACATTTGGAAGGGGGGGTGTTTTGGAAGGGTTTTTTTGGAAGGTTTTTTTTTTTGGAAGGGTATTTTTTTGGAAGTTTTTTTTTTTGGAAGGGGTTTTTGGGAAGAGGGGGGTTTGACAGAAAATGTCATGTGAAGAATATATTTTATAATTTATTAATTTTTTATTTGTTCGTTGAATTGGGTTCCAATTGATAGTACTGAACATTTGGAGCTGTCGAGTTTGTTATGGGACAGACTTCAAACTCGATGATGTGGTTTTCAGGAGCCGTCGAGTTTGTTGTGGTCCCACTTCTCAAGGTGTACCAACAGGTGGCTCATGGGCCCAAACGGAACTAAGGGAGTTGATGGATCCAAAGTTTCGAAAAGAAAAGGGGACGGGAATCTGGGCTACCAGCCCCGCACGGGCCCGGCCTCCGGGCCGGGCAGCCGGGGCCAGTGTGACTAGGACCTGGGTGGCAGCACGGCTGATTGCCCAGACGGGAATGAAATTTGGGAGCCAGTTAAAAGGACTGAAATGGAATTTAGGACTACGCTACCTGGCTCTCCCGGTATTCAGGACTAGGCTACGTGGCAATTGCCCGCCCGTGCGGCAGTGCTGTGCACCTCGCGCAAGTCGCCTGGGGTGTGACACGTGAATTACGTAAAAAGTCCTAAAAACGCTAAAACGCTATTTGAAAATAGTCTCAATGGCACCTTATGTAATTGAAATTAAATAAAAAATGCAGATTTTCAAACATGCAAAATAGACTCCGTTTTCATTATGAAAATGTGTTACGTCAAGATTTGTTATTAAAACTTCATTATAGGCACCCTTTATTATTATTTATTTTTATTTTTATTTTTTTTGGGTCGAGCCTTGAAGGTTTTCTGCTTTCTTTT